AAAAAATGCAGTCCTGAAATCTTAGTAGTATTTTTTCCTATTTTCTTCTTACCTAAAGGTCTCAATTAAGACAAACTGAAAGTTCCAAGCACCCCTACTGGCATTTAAAGATGGACAATCCCAGATTGTCCATAATTTTTAGAAATAACCTCTTTTTAAGGAAAACAATGAGGAAAACAAGCAACATCTTAGTTTTGGGTTAACTCCCAACATAAAAGGCAGAAAAATAAAGGCACTCTTTAATATCTGAAAATCAATTCCTACATGGAGAGAGGGATTGGGAGGGCTTGGAAGGCAAGGATGGTAGTTTAAGACTCTTAAGGTATATGCCACCACGGTAAGCTGGATGATTAAAATGGCAACTTCTGCTTTTCTCACTGAAACAGAATTGACAGCTAAGCAGGGATTAAAACACATTCCTGACTGCTTTTAATTGCAACTGAATCTCTTTGGTTATGTCTTGAAATTCAACCTGCAGTTGTCTTTTCTGACCTATGCTTTATCAATATGCTCACTAAGGAGGGTATTTAGCCAAAACTGCTTCAAAGGCCAAAAGATCCTCTGGGTCCTAAGAAGACAAGACTCTGTCAGGGAGCTTTTACTAGCTTTGCTAAAGCTCTCCCTAAGCAGAGCTATGGTACATGCATGTGGACATGTGTCACAGAGAAAGAGCAAGGTCATACCAGAGAGCAATCAATGCACAATGCCACCAGGCAGAAAATCCCTGCAGTTCCTACATAACCAGGTGACAGAGGAGAACTTCCTTCAATGTTCTTACCACTCTCAGAACACAGTTTTACCTACATGGGTAGGTTCCACTTCCAGGATGAGAACCCACTCTGATTCAAGGTCAACTCCACATTCAGACATACTGGGTCACCAACAGGATCCAGTATCCTGCCTCACCATGGCCAGTGTGAAGCATTTAAGAAACAGGATAGGAGAGAAAAGGCAGAGGGGGAACAGATGATAACCTGAATCAACAGAAGATGTGTATGGTGAGTTAAACTAGCTTGAGAGACAGTAAATCCACCATCATGGGAATCACAGAACATTGCTGCTGGCATCTACCTCACACTGGCAAGCATTCAAAAGAAATAATGGTGCACATGGTCCAGAAGTCCTAGGTACCAACACAGCACACACAGGGAATGTTAAAAGCTGCCCTGAAAAGGCACATTGCCCAAGCACACCTGCCAATCAGCAGATTCCTTTCACACAGGTACAGAATTTAGTTCCAGCTGTAGACATGACATCTTCACTGAATAAACTGAACCTACTTACTGCAGATTTTTCTTATCTAAAACCTTCCAGCATCTACTAGTGAAAGCAACACAAAACAAAAAAACCACAACACTTTGAGAACATGTTTAGATAACCTGGTATTGTTGGTGTCATGAATCTTCCAGCAACAATATACCTAGAGCAATTATGGGGTTTATGTCCATGTAGGACAACACATAAAAAAACCACAACACTTTGAGAACACATTTAGATAACCTGGTATTGTGTCATGAATCTTCCAGCAACAATACACCTAGGGCAATTATGGGGTTTATGTCCATGTAGGTCCCTTCCCCAGCACACACCCTGCTTCTCCCTCCCCTTTTCTGCCCATACAGGAACAAAACCATACCTGGATCTTTTCGCCCTGGTTTTTCAAAGCGTCTGTCTCCCCTGGAAAGGCAGAATAAAAGTTTCAAGTAAGGTTTTGCAACCACTCCACTCAATTTAGGCATGAGGTTTTTCTTTGTTTTTAACCTGGTAGGGGGCTTTAAAATCAGAGCTTGACAGACAGCACCTTTAAAAGGCCAAGTGACAACTGACATTTTCAGGGACACTGCTAACACACACAGCCTTTGGCAACTAGGTGTGTTTTGCCATGTGACCCTAAGTACTGTCAAAAACATTGAGACTAAAACTGAAGCAAATTCTTTAGCAACCCATATTTTCACCCATCATTTCCACTGCAAGTGTCATAATTTATAGTCTCAAAGATTGTTCTTCCAAGGAACTCAGAAAAATTCTTTGCAAGAATGGTCTTTTACTTGCTCCTGAGTTTCTACAAATATTACTGTGTGGCTGCCATCTTCAAAATTCAGACCCTCCACTCAGATACACCTCATCACCTTCCTAAAGGTGTTTTTAGGAAGTCAAAAGGCACAAATGTAAGCTGAGCAGATGTATTTATAAAACTTTAAGGGCTAGAATTCTGTTACCTTTCCTCCCAACTCTGTGATCTGTGCATTTCCCTGCCCCCTCCTCGCCCAAATCCACCCTCCACTTCATCAAAACTTCTTTGGTAGAAACCGCTTTCTCCTCGGCCTCTGCCTGAAAAGACAAAAAACACAAGTGTTTGTACAAATAATAACAGAAGCTGAAAGAATCAGGTTTCTCTTTCTCCCTGTCCCTGGGAACTAATCTTCTGGTCTTAAGCCCAAGTGAAATTATCTGGGGCAAAGGGGAAAAGAGTAAAGACTGAAGAAAGAGACATGTAAAAATCTTATCAAGAAGCACAGGATCAATCAGAACAGGCAAACACTGAAATAAATAGTACCCACAAACCACAGAAAACATACTTACCCACCAGAAATTACCAAACAGGGATGCTTTGTTCACACAGCATGGGTACTTTACCCTCAAAAACCAGACTGCTTCTAACAGCAGAAACCAGTATAATAGCCCTGCACTGCAGATATACTCATAATTACTGCTGTCAAGGTCAACAAAAAGAGAAAGAAATTTCACCACTATTAAGTTCTAGCTATTCCCAGCAGAAAACTCCCCCAGGAGCAGTGGGAGAAGAGAAGGATCACAGGATGGGGATAGGTAGGACCAGCATGAAGATCCCAAATAGCCACAGAATAAAAATTATCCTCCTCACTTTTTCTAGAAATGATTGTCAGTCAGTGGCTACCAAGTATCCAGCCTCAAGCCAAATGTTACAGATGTGTATTAAGTAAAGCATCTTGAAGCACATCTTCAGTGTTTGGGTAGGCGTGGGATGTTTGGTTTAAAAAAAGAAAAACAACACCCACACACATCCCCAGACCTTCAAGACAGCTTCCAGCTCTGGTTAGATTAATGGCTGGGGTGAACCTGCCAGATCTACAAAAGCAACACTGCTTCACAAAGTGCTACAGCAGCAGAAAAGGGAGGTTTTTATCAGCTAACTCACCATTTCAAGGGTCTCACAGAGAGACGATGAGCAAGGGAAACATCAGTCAGCTGACTGTCAGGATAAAGCCTTTCCTACACACACATGCAGTCCTTAACCTAAAAAGCACCTGATAAAGAGAATTCCTGGCTGTGAAACTATAACAAACCTGAATCCTTTCACATCTCTCTCTTCCTGGCTTCTAAAAAACAAACACCTGAGGTGGAAAACTGAACGGGGATCTGGAGGAATAAGACAAGGACCAAATGAAACAGGCAATGAACACCTTGAGAATGGACTCTGGTCTCTGCAGCCTTCTGAAGAAAGTAATAACAAGCCTCTACATTTAAAATCTAAAGACCCTTGGATGCATCAAAGGTAGGGGGGTGTGTGTGGGGGTGAAGTTTCCATCCAGGCAGAGAAAAAGAAAAGTGATCCCCCTATAATACAGTCAGGCTCCTCCAATACACACTGGTTTTGTACCAGGCAGTACAGGCTGCAGGGTGTGTAAGGAAGCCACAAAGTTAATGACTGCACAATTTCTCCTTTTGCTTCAGAAACAGGATTTAAACACCCTCTTTGGATGAACTATCCTGTTCCCAGCATGAGCAAAGCAGTTCAGTGGCAGATCTCCTCCTCACAGATGTGGACTTCCTTGACACTGAGTTCTGGGGCTGCTTACATTAGATGGAGATTGGACAAACTCATGAAAGATAAATAACACTCAGATTTACCAAACACAGACCCCATCTGGTTCAGGAAATACGCTGAGCTGCAGGTGTCTGGAAGCTGAGCACACATGTGATGATGCTTCACTTTTGTGATTTTACACAGCCCTTATTCTCCTGACAAGGCATCTTCTTTTGGCTGTTACTAGAGACAGACTGAAGTTCAACGAGCCCTTGCCTGATTCAGCGTAGCTGGTCTTACACAAACTCAGGCAGAGACAGAGGAGTTCACTGAGCACTGATGGCAGGAGAAGAGAGATTAGCTTCAGACCTATGACTGTACTAGAAACACAATTACCTTCACTGTGGCAACTCTGACACTACAAGGTTGACCACAGTCACGAGAGCAAAAGTTGCAAAAGCAAAAATCCATCAAGACCACTGAATCATAGAACTATGTAGCTTGGAAAAGAGCTGTTAAAGTTGTGATACGTCATCAAAAGCAGCACAACATTTACATCAAGGCATTATGGATCCCCTAAGATCCTACAAAAGGACTTCAAGCTGTTATTCTTCACAAAACAAGCCCAGGAAAGTTTAAGCATCACGTGCAGTGACAATCTTTGCCTAGTTTCTTGACCACAGGAAAGCTCTCTTCCTTCCTATCACAGGAGATAATAAAGCAAAATCCATTCACAAGAGAAAGTCACAGGCAGGCAGAGGAAAAACAGAATGAAGGCACTGACTCATTTCAGGTCTCAGGGGTAGCTGAGGTGGGAAGTTGCATAAACTTTTCCAGCAGCAACAAAACTGGTTGTCCTTTTCTGCTCTTCATAGTGAGCACCAGCAACATTTGTAGTGCTCCCCTCGCCATGGGAGCAAGCATGAATGCACACTGATGACTGATAGCAGACAACTAGCAGAGCCAGAAGGCTGGTGAGATGGGAGATTTCATCAGCAAATAAAGCAAATGTCCTATACAAGAGGAAGAACTAAATCAGAGTTGTTTTAACAGCCAGCAATGGCTTATGGCAGCTTTAAAAGTATGTGAACAAGAGCCTGAGAAACTTCTCTCTGCTCACCCCCGTGTCACAGCTCATCAGCATTTCAGTTGTGCTCAGCCACTGAAACGGCCTGAATTAAAAGATAACCTTGCAAAAGATCCAGGCAAATGATTCCAGTAGTTGGGTTTAAGACTGCCTGTGGAGCCACGATTCTCAGCCTCCAGCTGTACTGAGAGCACACAGCACAGGATCCATCTAAGCCACCTTTGCCCTGTCTGTGCTGCCACCCTTCTCCAGGGTGTTCTCCAAGGCACATTGTCCAAGATGTGCCCTGTCAACAGCACCCAGGAGAATTACACTGCAGCTCCAGCAGAAACCAAGCAGAGTGCTGCCTGAGAAACATACTGCATTAAAACAAATCCTACCAAGCTATAGAAGATAGGGAGCTAGTTAAGGAAAAGCAGGGTGTACAAAGTCAGTTATTCAGCAAGCATTAGAGATGAGGCTGACCTGAAAGTGCCCACTAGGACACACTGATAATGGAACATATGAAAAAAGCTTGCAGAGAGGATAAATCTGCACGTAGAGGTACTCTGTTCACCATTCTGTTCCTGCACTTCTTGGCTTTTTTTGTGGCTAATAAATCTAGAACAACATGCTTAAATAGAAGGCCACTTCCAAAAAAAATGCCTGGCACATGAGGAGCAGACTTGAAGCGTAGATGTTGCACAAAGTATTGAATGCAGTGAAGCAAATAGAGGTCAATAAATCCTTCCATTGAAGAACTGACTGGAGCAGCTGTGTCATTCACTAATTCCTTAACAACCTCAGAATGAGGATCTCAGTCCACTGGATACTGAAATCAACAGCCCAAAGAATCTAACCTGAAAAACAGACGAGTCTGAATTTAAGTCAAAAATGCAAGACAAGCAGGAGGACAAGAAGCAGCACGTGGTTGTTCTAATTGTCATTAGAAAAAAACACCTCCAACACAACAGAACAAGGAAATTCTTGAAGTTACAGCATGACTGGAGTTCAGGATCTATGATCACAGCTATAATGTGTGGAAAGAGGGATAACTGGAGTTCAGCTACTGCTCTTTGAGAACCCTTTGCTTTCACAGCATTTACACACTGTCCAACAGCAGCAAAGACAGATTACAAAGGGGAAAGAAGGTGGGAGGGGAAAGAGCTCTAATGGGAAGCAAACTACCTTTCCTAAGGGTCTTAACCAAAAAGGAGAACAGCCTCAAAACAAGGTGTCTGTAAGCTTACAGCCCATTCCAGGGGCTATTTAAATCTCCCCTCGTCTGAGGCTCTTATTCATGAATGTTGACATTCCAGTCCCGCCAGCACAAAGCACAGGGCTTAACTGAGCACCACAGGGAGCTCCCAGGAAAACAACTCAATTAGAAAAAAGGTCACGTGCAAGTACTTGGTTTCTTTAGAGAATGTAACTTCAGAACTAAATAAAATGTTTTGGATGTATGTCTCCACAGAGGACACGTACAGTGTCGGTGCTAACAGCCACAGGCTGCAAATGGTTTTAAGCAGTAACACCAGGTTGTATTTTAGCACAGTCATAAAAATTTTTAAAGCAACAAAAGAATGAAAGCAGCTTCCACAGAGTAATCATTTTCATTAGCTGCTAAACAGAAGTGCTCTCAGTAAGACTTGGGGTGACTACTGAAAGTATTTACTGAGTCTCATGTTATAAATACTGATAAGGAAAGTCACACTTGGGAGTTCTAAGCCTTCCTTTGCCAGCAGTGTATCCATTCTTCCCTTTGCCAACCTCTCAGAGACTGCCTCTCACTCTCAAATGCTGGAACAGAGTTCTGTGATTTGTGCCTCAGTGAGGAAACTTAATTAACAGATCTATTTGTACATGCAAATTCTCCCCTGAAGTTACTGTAGTGCAACTCACTTCCATCTCGTGCGGGTAGAGCTGAAGCCCACGTCTGATCAGCAGCAGCTCTGTTGCATACAACCATGTAAAGCTCATGAAAAACACCAGACAACCTTTTGAACTCAGGAAATTTTGCAAAGCCATAAAGAAAAATGTCTCCCAACTGTGGTTCATTCAGTGAACAAACTGAAGAAATTGCAAGTCCTTTTCACTGTAACTTGAAAAACAGAACTGCATTTCAAGCTTGCTACTTGCAAGCAATGTGTTAGTTTTGGAAGTTAGATGTCAACTATTCTCCATTGATCTTTTCATAAGTAACTATTAGACTTAAAATCCTTAATGACAAGAATGTCAGATGTATAATTATAGGAAAAAAAAAAAAGTCATAATTTTGTCCTGGCAGAAGCCCTAATTCATTGGAGTTGCAGAAACTTTGGGGTATTAGACTCAAAATCCTTAATTACAAGAATGCCAAGTGTATAATTATAGGAAAAAAAAAGTCATAATTTTGTCCTGGCAGAAGCCCTAATTCATTGGAGTTGCAGAAACTTTGGGGAGACTCATCATGCCTGAAGTCCAAGACTAATTGCTCATGGAGAGAAAAGGAGGAAGAGGGGAAGGAAAAACTGCAACCAGGATCAATGAAAGAGGGAAAGCAAATGAAGTGTAAAAATCAGGAATACACAGTAGAAGCTTTCAAAAATTCTTAATACTACTGCATAAATTTTAAGTTCTGTCCACTGAAGTTTCATGAATCGAACTACTGACAATTTCCATGCATACAAATACTCTGCCACATTTAACCCTATGACCTCACTGAAACTAGTAGAGGCAATTAAAAATCAATCCACTGCTCACTGCTTAAGGATGACATTCATTGTTAAAAGTACAGCAATAGAAAAAAAAAAGGAAAATTTGACAAAAATAAAAAGAGAAAGGGTTTGGCAAATGAGAAGTGAGTATCTTGACATTAAAACTAGAGAGCACACTAGTGGTCATATGATCTCAAATCAACAAATTTTAAAGCAACATTCCTTCCATTTGCAGAATTAAGCCTTAATGCATCTAAATAAACCTAATACATGTATTCTGAGCAAATGTGAAACATGGATGGTAGGAGTGCAATACATGTGTTAAAAGCACAACAGCTTTGAAACGTTCAACAGAAATATAATGAGATGAGTTAATGTCCTGGTTTGAGTGAGAATATAACTAATTCTCTTTAGTGATACCACTTTTCAGCTAAAGCTCTTCTAACTGACTGCACTTTCTGATGTTAACAGCAGATTTTCACAGGCAGTGTCTGCTTCTAGCAGTGATAACACTCCATGTTTAGAGTTGGCACCCAGGATTGGGATGCAAACCAAGGCCACTGCTAAATCCTGTGCACCATGCTGCAGGGGGCAAAAAGTAAAGGCTGCACCTGCAGGGAGGAGGGGACAAGATAAGGGACCCTAAATCCACCAGTGGGGTATTCCATCCCATATCTGTCAGACTCAGTACAAAAGCTGAAGGATCACGAGGGTCAGGCCCCTCCTCCCTCCCTTTTGCTTCTGCAGGGGCTGCACCTGAGGACTCTGCCCATTCTCCCTTTGATCCTGAGCCCTGTGTTCCTGAACTGAGTTGAGTGTTAAGAGTGTCACCCAATATCTACATATGTGCACATGCTATTTTTGGTTTTTTAATTAAGCCCTGAGCATTTGGACAAAGACAGTAATAAATACAGAAGGGGAAGTGGCAGGGAAATCCAGGGATAGCCTCTTAAAAGTCTAAATGTATATGCCTTAGCTGGGAAGCAGCCACAAGAGGACAGACGAGTCTCCAGATATCTGAAAGGTGTAAGCCAAGGAGGAAGCAGAGTAAGGAATGAAATGAGAGAACAAATTACGTCAGAGGAAAATTTGGGTCAAGCATTGAATTATTTATGGAAGTGATTTCTGAATACGTTATTGAAAATATCACCAGTTAAGCACATTTAGAATTAAATTAGAAAGGACCCTCAGAGAAACCTCATCTAAGCACCTGCAAAGGCAGAGGTTACAGGATTAATTATTCCTGATGATATCTCCAAGTTGCTAGCAACCTAGTATTCTAAATGTAGCCCATCATATTGATATATAAACCCCCCAAAACAGTGTTCACAGCAGCATGCACATTGAAGGGGGACTGCTAAGATAAATTCTGGATTTAACAATTTGTTTTGAATCTAGTGATAATGCTTGAGGACATTTTCTCAATTCATTTGCAAGTGTTTGAAGTGATCCAGGATGAGACATCAACTATAGTGATGCCCTAAAATAAGCAAGACAAATTCGTCCCAAATTCAATTATGTCTTTCCATTAATGTTCTACTCATTCTCAGGATGTTAATAAATGAAAATGACTTCTCAGAACACTGATCAATTATCTCTTTCTATTAATGTTCTACTTATTCTCAGGATGTTAATGAAAATGACTTCTCAGAACACTGAACATCCCCTTCTACATTCTTAATGTTTTAAATACATTCGTGGATTCTTCTCCCCATTCTCTATAAATTTGACTTATACCTTTATTAAAAGTTATTTCCAACAATTCTGAACCAAACACTTTCCTATTCCCCCCCTGAACTACCTTTTCCCTTCCACACCCACCAATCTGCCAGAGGCACGTAGCACAGGTACCAGATGTGCACTAAGGCGTGCAGAGCAATCACTAACCACAATATGGACTAATTGGAAAGGTTTCAAAGCATTAAAGGCAACTGGGCATGAGACAAGCTCCATCTAACACCCATCAGAAGGTTTAACCTGGGTCACCTGTGCACGTTGGGGCAGGTGGCACCCACAGCTCACCTCGACCTCTAGAGGAACTTCGACCTCGAGGAGCCCCTACCACCGTTCCTCCTCCGCGTCCCGTCAACCGCAGGACGGCAGCACTGTTTACAGACATGGAGAAATTTCTCTGCCAAGGGAAGAACACACAGTGAGATTTTTTTTTTAGGTCAAAAACGTAGCCAGAAACATCATTATCCTAAATTTAGCTTGTATCAGCTTGGTTTTCCTTAGCTTCATTATAAATTCTCTACAACTCACACTAACAAGGAAAATGACTCCCAGGAGACAGGAGTAGCTGAAGCAGGCTGTAAAAGGATCTTGGTCAGTCTCAGTGCTTTTGAGTTACTTACCTGAAATTTCCATGCTCTAAAGGTAGGAAGTGAGCACCTACTACTTTATCAGATGATTCCAGCACAGAAGGAATAAGAACATCAGCAGTTTTAAACAGCTGCAAAAAGAGCTTGGCACCTGCCTATACCAAACACTGCTAATAGCAATTCTAAATTTACTTCTTAAAGCAGGGACACTAAAGAGCAACAGAACTTGAATGAAATGAGAGTTGCCAATCTCCTTTGCAGGAATAAATCTTTTGTTTTCTCTAAATGTCTCATAGGGGCAACATGCTTTGGGGAAAACTAAGTGTATTTAAGACCTCTGGAACAATACTCATTTTAATAAGACAATAGACATCAGTAAAGTTCAACTTCATTTTAATGTGAGATAACTGCTGAGGAAAAAACTATTTTGATAAAGAACAAATTATAATCAACTCTGGCCCCATTCTCTGAGCACAAGCAGTTGGAAAATTGGGCCAAATTCAGGTGCATGTTCAGAAACATTATCAAGCAAACCTGAATTCACACCCACTTCCTGAATTTAAGTTTTAATTAGAATATGAAGGACTCCAAACAGCTGTTACATTAGACTTCTTGACAGGAGCTCAGAGGAAGCAAATTGCTTACATGAACTCATCTGAATTATTATGACTCTGAAGGTCTTCAGAAAACAATGAGACAAGAACTATTTAAAATCTCAACTGATAACTTCAAAGCCAACAGAAATGTGAAGGAGTTTTAACTCATTTCAGAAACAAGCTTAACTGCTTGATATGTTCTTCCTACAAAGGAGATCTTCCTTAGCAGAGAACTGCTATCTAAGTAGATAAGTGGGGAAAAAAAAATCATCACCACATGTGGTCAAATAGCAAAGTCAGCCTCCAGTAAAGCTGATTCTATTTTCCTAGCTAGCTCTTGAAGTTTAAAGCAACCATTTCAACAGCAGAACAAAATGAACCACCTCCACTTGCCTTTAAGCAAATCACCACCTTATCTTCCTTCAACAGAGAACTGGTATCTAAATAGGTAAGGGGGGCAAAAAAATCATCACCACATGTGGTCAAATAGCAAAGTCAGCCTCCAGTAAAGCTGATTCTATTTTCCTAGCTAGCTCTTGAAGTTTAAAGCAACCATTTCAACAGCAGAACAAAATGAACCACCTCCACTTGCCTTTAAGCAAATCACCACCTTTCCTGCTGCTGATAGTTCTGCTTTTTTGTCATGCAGTGAAATATTTTACTGCTGAAACAACTTCAAGTTATTGATCAGATTCACTGTCTTGTCTAGAAGACTCATTTTTGATGCCTTATTTTCCCCAATAAGAACAAACCAGTAATCTCACTTGTCTATTTTTTAATTTGACTAATCTGCCTGAACTCTGGCCAAAATTTCCCTCCCTTCTGTAGAGCTTGCTGTGGTAAAGATGAAATCCTTGTATAAAGCAAAAAACATCCTGCTATTGATTAGTAGATTACTTCAGCATCCATCCCTGACACACATGAAAGAGCAAAGCTGCCCCAAAACAGGGGCTCAAATCATTCTTCAGTAGAAACTGGAAGACATCCCAACAAACAGGTTTGAAACAACCAAAGAGGACACAAAATGTCACAAAATGTGTTACACTGAGGAAGAACTTGAGACTCCCCAACTCGACAAGCACATAAGATTAAGACAACTGAATTCTTTCCTACTATAAAGAGGAATGGAGGAGTGGGGAGGAAGGCAAAGGAACAGGCTGCATATTGCCAGTGAGCTTTAAACAGAGGCTTCCACTATCCCTATCTGCAGAAACCCTCTTTTCTTCAAAAGACTTGGAAAAAGATATTAGAAAAATGTAGCTGTCATAAAACTTACTACAAGGTGAATCAGTTGAGCTCTAGGTTAGCTCAGCATCCTTATCACCATGGAAGTGACACTCTACAGAAAAAGGATAAAAAGGGCCAGCAATTCTGCCCAAAGAACATCCGTGTTCTGTAACAGGGAACAACACAGCCCTAAGTATCTGACTAGTTTAACTCCACAGGACTAAACAAATTTAAGCTTAAATTCATATAACTGGCATCCACCTCTAGAAAAGGCATTTTTAATTCCTCTTGAGACAAGCTCCTCCTGGACATACTGCAGATGCAACTACAACGTTACAGGTGCATAACTGAGGTTGCAAGCAAGAACTGCTCTGAACTCAAGTCCAGAATAAACCTGATGGGTTCAGCTTCAACTGAACACTACCCTGAAGCACTTAGGTTCTGACCAGCCTGTCCTCTACACGACTCCCAGATCTCTGTTCCTCAAGTTCTGAGAGGTTAACACTACCTTCAGTATTCACAGAGGGGACACTAAAGTGTTTTAAACTCTTATCAACATTTGGTGAAAGAGCTTTCCTGTACCACAGCTAGAAGCAAAGCCATTAATAGTCACCTCAAGATCACTTCTGAACATGATTCTTGATGATGAACAATGTTTATTCTGTCATGGGGAACAAACACCAGGAATTTCTGGTAGCTTAAATAATGCCATTCCATTGTTATCTTCTCAAATCAGTCATGAAGGGGGAGAAAAAAGATCTTCAGACAAGAAAAACCAGATTGCTCACATCCTCTGGGTCCTCAGAAAGCATTAAAGACATGTCTATAAAGGGAATATAGACCTCTTCTTTCAGGTTAAGAGTTTTATGGAGATTGTAGAGAACTGTTAAGCTGACCATGAAGACTTTGTATGATTACAGGTGAAAAGGGGCAGGAAAATGACACTGACACCAACTCCTCAGAAATCTTCCAGACTGATGAAGCACTGGGCACTGCAGCAGAGGACACCTATCCCTGAAGCTCAGCAGCACCCACCACTTCATCTGTACCAAAAGGCTACCCAGTATGTTTTCAATACCATAGCCCTACACTCATGTTATTCATCTTGAAGAGTATCTTGACAATCACCAGAAGTCAACATCCCCTTTAGCCATTAAAGGCTTCCAGTTTACTAGAAGGACTCCACCATGCATCAACAAAAAATAAGTCCAAAGGTATTTAACACCCAGGTTGAAGGTTTGGTGTCTGGCTGGCCAGTTCCTGGGCTTGCTGACTGAATCCCTCCTGCTCCCTCTGCACAACAGGAGCTGGACTAACATCTCCCATAAAAGCATGTTCTCAATCTCAGTGGACTTTTAAGACTAACTATGACATGAAGTGCTCACAGGGTATTCACATGAACCTAAATATGTCTGCTGATTAAAAGCTAAACTATTAACATCTTATGTCAAAGGATGGCATCCTAAAAAAACCACAAGAAATATGAATCAACTCTGAAAAGGAAGAAATTGCAGAAGAGGTGAAAAGGACATGCCAGAATACACAGGGACAAAGATGATGAAAAATTCAAGAATAAAATACCATGGGGCAAAAGGAGGACATTGTGACATCTTAAACTAATACTAAAACTTCCCATCCCTGAAAATAATCAAATTACACTCCAAAAATGCATCAGTAAAACCACTTGGCTTTCTATTAGAAAATAAAAGAGATATCAAACCACAGTATTCTGAAGTAAAGAAAATGCTAAGAAATATAAGAGTGACTGCAAAATCAGAAGTTCCAACAGTAATAAAGAGGGAATCAATTCAGAGTCAGAAGTCTGGGGCATTTAGCCAGGGGGAGGTGGACAGCTTTCTCTCCTAGAAATTGAATTTAAAGCAAGAGCTTTTAAACTACTCAGATCAATCACCCTTGAAATGGAATCTCTGTGGACTACCTGTTCTCACTCTTATCTTGTTCACCAATTAATTATATACCTATAGAGACCAAAGAAGGAAGTGATGGAGCAACTGACTGCATAAAACAGTTAAGAGTACAGCACTTTCCTAAGAAATGTTAACAGCCAAAAACTTCAACACTTCTCCAAGGGCAACAAAACTGAAGCTACAGAACTGAAACACTTCTATTACAACAGAGAAGGTTGTCCAAAAAGTGTAGAAAAGGTTTCACTGATCTGAAAATGCAGTGTACTTCAAAAATAGGTAATGCTTGCCAGAAAATGATCCTTGATTTCCCCCAAATCTATTAATTTCTAACTTATTTTTTTTTAATGGAGATGTACTCTTAATTTTGCCTTTGTTATGTACATTAACAAATTATTTCTAATTTTTTAGAAAAGCATACAAACCTGTTCTTCTTCTGTAAAAGGTACAAGTGCCAGTGGTGGCAGGGGCTCCTCTTGTAAAATAGGCAGAAACTCTTTATCCAGAAGGTCTGAAGGTATCTGTATGAAAGGAAAACAGCACACAAATATACCCAAGTATTTGCATTGCAGGGAGGATGCCACATACTTTCATTGACAAAAATTAATAAATTTTTCCTGTCAACTGTCTCCATCTGGTACACCAGCACTTCCCATAACATTTACTGGGGGTGGGTACAGCTCCACTGCAAATTTATGCCCCTCAAAAAATATTCTTATGGCCAAAACATCCAAAGCACCCACTACCCACAACTGTAACGAGATCATACACATCAGAATTCAAACTTCCAAACTACTACAGCTTAAATTTGAACCAGGTAACATTTCATTTGGTAAATTAAAGAAGTATTGCTTTAACTTCAATGCATTATTATAGCCACATTTTTATTTCTATATTAAGAACTACCATATATAGAACAGAGGTTGTATTGGATTTTAAGCCAGCATTTCCAATTTACAACCAACAAGAAGAGTAAAACTAAAAAAAAAAGCCAAAAGAAAGTAAAACTATAGGTATGGATTTATTAAGTAGAAAATGTTGGTGATTTAAGGAAAAATTTTAACACTACTTTTTCATTAGTCCATCAGATGACACTGAGTATGTGGACAAGAAGCTGCAGGTACAGGCAAGTGAACTCTATGCCAACAGAGAACTGTTTCAGAAACAACTAGTTCACAATACTAGAGAGAACTTCTCCCAATTTTAATTGAAGCAAAGCAATGTTAAGGTTTTATTTTTTAATTTGGGTATACACTAGGAGAAATCTTCCTGCTTTTAATCAGATACAAGACAGATCTTTGACACTGAAAGCCCTCAAATGCCTGTGTAAGCAACACAGGGCTCCCAGCACTGTGTGACAAAGTCAGCACAGTCCTGGTAGGGTAAGAACACAGAGGGGTGTGTGCACATCCACACACAAAGCTGGAGGCACAACCTGATGGCATTTCTAGCAGCCCCTCCCTGCCTTGAGGGTTGAGGGATTCAGACTTCCAAGTCACTACACGCCTGCTGCAACTTGTCACCATCTACAGAAAAACCTCATGTTCACAAATGCACAATGTATGAGTCACCTGCCTGGAACACCCTCTGAAATATGACTTTTGTATCACTGAGAATCTTGGTTTGAAATTACACAAGAGGGAAGTTCCTGACTTTCCACACTGCTCCTCTGTATTACATGTGCTAGATGGTATTGGTTTCCTGAGTCCCAGGGAAGTGAACTACCTGAGGATGGCTCCCAGTGGGCTGCTTACTTGTTAGTGAGCTGCCCTAAGTCAGGATAAATGTGGAGCTCTAGCTTTTTTTGAACGGTCTACTAATATATTGCCTGACTTTGAAGCTGAATCAAATAACTATCTTACACTGTATTAAATAAAATCCTACTGAGGCAAACAAATCTGTAGAGCTCTAAGACGACTTTAATCCCGAGTCATCTGTGGCAGTGGGACTGAATATGGCAATCAGGGCTTTTTTTTTGTTCTTGGAAGTACAGGAAGCTGCCCCCCAAGTGACAAAAACAATCCAACATAATGAACACAGCACGGGTGGGATCAAACAAGCACAGACACAAACCCCTCCACAATCCGACCTTTTCAGTCCTTTGCCAAGGGACACACAGTTTCTTTGTTCAGAACCACAGAATACAAATAACTCTTCCTGCTCACCAGACTGGCATTAGGAAGACACACATCAGGCCTTCTTCCTCTTCCTGCTCACCTTATTATCCTTTAGAAAAAGTGCCAGCATTTCTTCTCTCCCGTAGCGATAGTCTGCTAGCTTGTACTTGGGCAGGGCCGGAGAGAGGGGAGGGGATGTCACGCTCCCGCCGCTGGACAGAGCTCGCAGCCTGGAACCAAACAGGAGAGCAAGGAGAACTCACTGAGGGGAAAATCTTCACCTACACAACCACCTCTCTGCACATTGATAGGTTTGACACTAAGCAAATAAATCCAGTATCCCCAGTAAAGGAAACACACTAATAATCTAACTTCAGGACTCTAGAACTTGGTGCTTTGACACACAGAGGGAAAGGGCCTTCCTTATCTTCCCTGTCCTGGTTTGAGGGAGAACATAACTAATTCTCTTCAGGGATTTTGCTTTTCAGCTCAGTATCTTCCAACTGATTGTTTCTTCTGAAGTTGTGGGCATATTTTCAGAGTGTGTGTTTCTGGCAGTGATAACACTCCATGTTTAGAGTTCCTACCAAGGACTGATATGCAGACCGAGGTCACTGCTCTATCTGGTGTACCACACTGGAAGGTGCAGAAAGGAAAAAGGCTGAAGCTCCAGGGAGAGGCAGACAGGACAAGTGACCCCAAACTGACCAATGAGGGATCCATCTTGTATACATCATGTTCATTAAAAAGCTGAGGGGTCACAAGGGTCAAACCTCTTCTTCAATGGTTGGCATCCAAGGAGGACTCTGTCCCTTCTGCCTTCACTCATGATCCACGTGTTCCTGAATCCAGGTCCAGCATCCAGCTCCTCAATCCAAGTCCTGTCTGCCACCAAGTCCAGTCTGGGACTTGCCCAGAGCCTACTCCACAGCACCAGTGGCAATGGTGACATAATTGCTGGGTTCAATACTGCCTTTGTACATATTCCATTTTATTATTACTATTGTCATTAAAGCTGTCTTAGTTTTCCAAGCCGTAAGTCTCTCTCCCTTATTCCCTTTCTCTTCCCTTTTGGGAAGGGAGAGGGGTTAACAGAGAGCATCTGTTACAGGTCTAGTGGACAGCCCTGACCCTCAACTTTGACATTCCCATTGCCAGGATTGAGAAAGAAGAACAATTAAAATTCCCATCAGCTCATGAAGGAATTCAACTCATCCCCTGGACGACCCTTATGTGGGCTCTACAGCCAGGCAGCTACACCCCTAAAGCCTTGACTGAGCTACTTACACTGGCTGCACAAAATTCAGTTGTCAATCTTCCACAGGTATTAATGACAACAGTTTCTTTTTGACAAGAAAAATTCTTATCACACCAGGGACAGTGCAGAAAACACTAAGGAAAAACCTTGTTCAGGTGTTTCAAAGTTTAACAAACAGTATGGGACAGTAAATTTTGCAATGAGGTTTCTTCTTGTGTCCCTGGAATCCTGCTGTACTCCAAATTCCTCTTCCAGAACTTAAAGGTAATGGCATTTTTCAGACAGCACATGCATCATTTAGCTTAAGTGTCCCCCCAAAAAATATATAACATATAGCCACATTCTACTTCAGAGACATTTCAAGCAGTAATCTAACTTATGGTAACACACACACAGGCTGTTAAGCTTGGTCTCACCCCACACAGGTAAGCTGCTCCTTGCAGAAAACCTCTTATAGCTGTATGATAGTATTCCCATTCTGCAGGTGGATTAGTCTCCTCCTCTACAATCATTTCCTCAGCTACCCCAACATCCTGTATTTTTGAGGAATGTTTGACAAAAGGATGTGTCAAGCAACACAACCCAGACCATTTTCCTGCATGCTCCTCCATGTCCATCTTAGGTCAGTAAAACAATGAAAACTCCTCTCAACAAACAAAACGCTTGGAAAGGGAGGTGTTCTAAACCAAAACACCGATTCTGAGGCTACATTTCACCTAGTTAGTGAAGCATGACTTGTTTTATTGTGCTTTAAACAGAAAGGGAAAAGTAATTTGCAAGTCAAATGTTTATCTTATTTTTTTAGTTTGGTGCCACCCAGTGGCAGTTTCTCCACATGCCACTTGCAAACAAAAAAGGCCTGGGGAGGTATTATTTGAGGGATTAGATGGTTCAGAGCAACGTTCAGCTCAAATCCAGATCAAACACGACCGAGGGAGTTGCACTGGGAAGTGATACAGCAGCATCCATAACAGACATGACTATGCTGCAGCCCACAAGTGTTATTATCCATCTTAGAATTTTATTCCATTATTCCTGTAAAAACCTAGTAACTCACTGAAGTATAATATGTAACAATAATCTAAATTATAAATTATCATAAATAATCTAACCTGTATTTTAGCTAAATGCAGACTGAAGCTCCCTCACTATGACACAGCAATCAAGCTACTGTTCAAATATGTGCTTTTTTTAGAGTTGCCTTCCCCCTTCTCTTTTTTTAATATAACTTTGGCTTCCATCCATCAATGAATCTAATCATGTCTGTCTCTTACACTGACGAGCACTCCAGCACAAGATATCTGCCTGGTGGGTGTATTTATAGATAGTGATAAAGTCATTCTTTAACCTTCTTGCAATCTAACAAAATAGACTGAGCTCCCGCATTGTTTTCCAGGCCACAAATCACATCTTGCTTCTTTGTTGAGCACTCTCCAATTTTTGCACATTGTGTATAAAAACGTGTCAGCAAAAGGGAATATGTTATTCCAGCAACAGCCTCACTGCTTGCTACAAAGCAATTCTGTTTCCTATCCCCACTCCACGCTCCATTTACACACTCAAGGATCACATCACTCCTCAGAAACCACAACGTCCTCATTCTTGCTCACAACTGCAGTCACCAGCACTTGAACAAGAAACTGGAACAATAACCACAGCAGTGCAGACACTCTCCAGCCAAAGCCAGGACAGCACGTGTCAGACAAGCTGGGAAGCTAACAGCTGGCCCAAAATGACACAGCACCACATATTCCCTTCACCACAACACTCATCTTCCTGACACTCTTCAATGCACATGTGCAGGAGACTGACAGGAAACACACTTTTACCATATCTCACAGATTTTTTAAATAGTGGAATAAAACCAAGCTTGCTTAACTATAGATTGAAGCCCATTAAGTATAAAGCTTCCTTGTTTGGTCTTTCCATAGGACAGATGAGAGTCAGTTGTCTTCACTTCATGCACACCTCCAAGACCATACACATTATTCCTCTCTCAGATGCTTGGTAGCAACACGTCACACATCAGGATAATGTGAAACCCAACTCATTCCATCCACAATGCCAATTCACAAAGTGGAGGCTGATTTCATAACATCTCTCTCAGCCACTGGCCGGGGACTGAGGTGATTTAGTATGGAACAACAAATTTCATTCGATCCCATTCAGTCCTATGATCAATTCAGTCCCAAAGGGCAGAAATTCATAAGGGCTTTTAGAAATTTTGAACAAGGTTTCCAAGTCTCCCAGAGCAGAACAAGACTCACCATTCAGGCCCGAAGTTAAGTGTCTGAGTTTCTGCTGCCATTTTTTTTCCTGTTCTATTCCTCTTTTTTTAAAAAGCGTGAACCTGAAAAATAAAAAGGTTTATTATGAAAACAACTGGATTAATACAGTCCTTCAGAAATGCCTCCACAATACCACAGCACATCTGGTCATGCAAAGAAGTGAGAACTGACCATGTGGATTTTTTTTTATCTTGAGGGAATCCATGTCAATTCTCCAACACAGATTAATAGACTAATATAGGAGTAACTGCATCAAGATCCCTTCCCTAAATTCCTCTTTTAACAGCTCCAACAGGACACTGGATCACAGTGTCTGAAGAAACTATTGTACAGACAGTTCCTTCCCAAAATCAGTGATTACCCCAAGACAACCAAACACGTAGAATTTGATGCATAATCCTCTTCTGTAAGAACAGTAATGCTTAATTAACAGAATTGCAGCTTCCTGACAATTACGAGAGGATAAAAAATCCACTAGAATTACAGCAAGAAAGATTTGCCAGTTGAGTGGCAGAGTACTCAGGAAATTTCCACTGCTCATTCTTGAAAAATAAGCTTTCTAAAGATTGAGAACACCCAATGCTGTGACATCCTCCCAAGTCTGCAGCCAGATGATGGTAGTTCTCTCATTCTTGGTTTAATTGAGCAAAAAAAATGTACAACCAAAGACTTCAGTTACTTCCATTCCTATTAGCCAAGGTCCTGCAGACACTAGTGAAGGTCAGGTCAAGTTCCTATATATCAGGAGTGTATGGACACCAGCAGATGAAGCCATGCTGGAGCTACAGAACATGACTAAAGAAGTTTTCTCTATCAGAGCCAAGCCCAGCCCAGGCAGTTCTGGACAAGTGTCCTTTGCAGTAAGAAAACACAGCTCCTATTTCCCTCCATCAATGGAAAAATTTGGATTTGCAGGAGAAGTTTTGGGTTTTTTTCAGAAAAATACAACTCACTGTAGACAAAGCTCCCACACCACCCAGAAAAAGAAAAACTGAAGCATTACCTTCAGGAGGTAGTTTATTAGACCTGAAGAACCCATAAAGCCAGATGGGAGGGAGGGAGCTTTGCCATGTCAGAACTCTGTTCCTTCACAGACCCAGGGGCTAAATAAGGCACTTTGTAACTTGTCTATACTTTGTGTGAAAAGCTGATGGGGAAAAAATAAAATATGGGGAGATAAAAGTGGAAAGGGCATTATTTGCTGAAGGAAAAGACAAAAGCAAAGGCAACTTTTTCTTCCTCTATATGTTACTGAAGTAATAATATTGAAGTTAAAAAAAAATTAAGTCTAGAAGCTACAAAATTTTTAAAAAACCACCATATTAAAACTGCTTCAGTAGATTTTTGCCCAAATCTTTTGGGTACAAGACTACAAACAGTTGTAAAACTCCCTGCAGCCTAAACCTACCAACCAGCCTTTGAGTCATGTATTTTTACTACAGCATATTAACTTTTGCCCATATGCAACATCATTTTTTATACAAACTGCAGTATTTTGATTTTCACAGTAACCTTACATAATGAAATGGGATTATCCCCAGAAGCCAATACAAAAATACCCAGCTATTCTCACAGGCCTAGTCTGAGATGGTTTTGGTGTGATCTGGGTAGCCTTTCTGGATCAGGTGACAGCTCATTAGAACAGAGGATTAATTGCTCAGTTTGGTAGAATCATAAACATTGGAAAAGACCTCTAAGATCATCAAGTCCAACCCCCAACCCAACACCACCATCACCACTAAACCATGTCCCAGAATGCCACGTACACACGTTTTTTGAACACCTCTATGGATGGTGACTCCCCCACCTCCCTGGGCAGCCTGTTCCAATACTTCACCACTCTTTCAGGAAATAAATTCTTCCCAATACGTAATCTAAACCTCTCCTGGCACATCTTAAGCCCATTTCCACTCATCCTAAAGTCAAGGTCTTGTCATTTCCAAGTCAAAACACAAGGTACCTAAAGACATGGTACAGCAGCCACATGTGGCAATGTTGTGGGGCAGTTCAAGCCAACTATCATGCACCCTTTGGCAGAGACAAGCCCCCAACACAATTCCAAGTAGCCTTAATTGGATGGCTGCCCCTTCGTCTCTTCCACAACAGTAATCCTTCTGCTGGGGGGGTGTGGGGGGAAAGCTCTCAGATCAACCCACGGGGATCACCCGGGAACCTGGGGTCTTTAGCTCCTAACATCAAAGCTAGCTTAGTATCAGTAATACCAAAAAGGGCACTGACTGTGAAACTGCAAGGAAAACACCACTGAAAAGCATCAGATACAAAGATAAGCACAAAAAAAACCAGGTAGGATAGAGCAGTTTACTAGTTTCAGACCCACTGGGCCCCCCCCACTTGATTCAGCCTCTGGGTTTCCTTACCAAAATTGAGGATACTGTGCCATCTTTCTCTACTAAACTCCTAAGTACTTTAGTACCTAAAAGCACACTCAAAGCCTGCTAATCTCACAGCACTGAGCTGCAAAATGGCTTTCCTTGTCCCTTGTTTTGGCCACGACACTTTGTTTTGGAACTCCTTGATGCTTCCTCCTCTGTGCTGCATTCAGATAAGTTATTTCCTCCCTAGCATTTCTCACTGTATGAGTTTTGAATTGAAAGAGAGACATTTTTAAGTGGACAAAACTGCAGCTAAACGCATGGGGGGAGGGGGGGAACCTGCAGATGATTTGAAAAGAGGTAATGCTTTGGGAGGAGGGGGACAGAGGAACAAGAACAGCAGCCTCAAGGAAGCCACGGCAGCAAGCGTGGCAAGAGGAACACACACAGCCAGGTCAGAGCAGACAAGATGGGAAAAGCAAAACCACCAGCTGCTTCTGCTGGCTCACAAAGCAGCCAAAAGGTGGGAGCACAAAGGTCAAACTGCAGAGGAACCTCTGACAGGGACTGCACAACACAGCCTGTGCACAAAGGAGAAGCTACACCAACTGGAAAGGCAAGTTGGGGTGGACTCAGCAGCGCTCACGTCATGAAAGGAAAGAGTCAGGGTGGAGCAAGAAAAGGGTGAGGAATCCAGAAAAGGGAACAAATGATAAAGTCATTCATTCAACTATCATGGCCAAGGGAAAGGCATGAATGGATCAGATTAGATGTAAAAGAATCACTAAGTCAATCCTGATTTTTTTTATCTATACTGCTCCCTTATTAATCAAGGATGACAAATGACAAGTAATAGATACTAAACACTTACTCCCTGATAAAATTTGATGAGGCAGAGGCCCCCTTCTCAACTGCTACAGCTTTGTAAACCACCATTTTTTACAAATTAATGGCTACAGATTGAGGAACCTGCACAGTCCCAGATTTTATACAGGCAAAGAACACACAGGGACTTCCTGCACTCGAAGCAAGAAACTGAGGCTGTATTTTGATACTGTCCACTCAGCACCACTGCCTGGGCAAGAAAGCTGCCTGAGGACTTCCCACCCCTTCCTCAAAGGGGAACATTTTCTCCAGGGTTTTTGCCCAATCAGGTCAATCGTTGATCCAAGTGCCAGCACAACCCTGTGAACAGTTACAGTTTTCCCACATACTTGGGAAAAGCAGAATTGCTTCATAAACTGGAACCCCATTTTCCTGGGGTGATACCACGGCCACCAACCCGCTCTGAGCATGCAGGACTGCAAAGAGAAGAAACCCCACCAAGCCCACCATCACCCTGTGGACTGGCCAGAGGAAAAACACCCTTTGTTTTGTCAGCAGCTTAGCACTTGGGAAGTCAGAAGTCCATCCTCCCAGAAGACAAAATGTAATCCAATAACCTTAAGCCTTTAAGTGGCTTTCACTCACAATTAACATGTAATATTATAGGTACAGAAGTTGCTCTCAGCAACACTCCACTCATTTCATTGCTTTGTCTTAGGTACAATGGCTGTTTTACCAAGCTTGCAGTTTTAAAAAAAATATTTTCCAAGCTTGCTCTTTAGGAACTGACAAATCTATTACAGCTCTCAGAAACATCTGCTTGAGACACAAGTCAGAACTTGATTCTACCTGCCAGATTTCTGTGTTAAAATGCATAAGATGTTTCAGTTTAAACAACAGAAATGAAAAACACTAAGGAATATCTATAAATACTGTGGCACATTTTGGCCACAAGCTCTGTCTTTTAAATTGTATAGATATTTAATAAAATATCTAGGCAAAAAAAGCTCTTTTCCTAGAGACTCTGAAAGAATGCCATGCTTTCCAAATTTTGCCCAGCTCAGGATTTACACAATTGGCACTTTAAGGTTTGCCCCTAACTCAGAGGTAGTTAAGATTCTCAGGGAATGTTAAATTCCAGCATTTTCAGTACAGAATTCTGTAGGCTTGTACCACATGGCAATCTGTCTCACCAAGATGTTTTGCTGGTTTGGATCAACTGATCCTTAGCATCCCATGTTCAGTCTAGGCAATGACTTCATTCAGGTCTGCCCATCTCATCTCTCCTACAGACAAAAAAAACCCTGAAAGATTTGAACTGGCACTGCAATTTATAGCTTGGGGGCTGCTGCTTAAGTTTATTAATTTTAGAAACCTTGGGAAAAAAAAGATATTCCACTGACCCTTCCCATACACAGCTATTTTAAAATGGTCTGCTGTTTAACTGGGGTGCAGAGGAAGAAAAGTGGCCCTTCCTTTCAACCTAGTTCTGGTGCTACATTTGAAATGGCCTTTTTAACCTTTTTAATTGGCCGAAAATTTTGAGAACCAAAGAACACAACAGAAATCTAAGATGGGCAGGTTTAAGTGCAGCTGGAACTGGGTTCTCCTTCAGTAAACTTGGAAGAGGAATTTAAGAGCAGTGCTCCACCATGCAGCAGCAACATCCCAGCAAGATGATCTGACTTCACCTTCCACAGGCGAGAGAACATTCCACAGGCAGCTCCTACAGCTAAATTCTGTGCCAGTAACTGTGTTTAATAAAAAAAAATAAATAACAGGTTGACTGAATAATTAATGCTGATTTTCTCTAATTCTTGAAATATTAAAGAAGATCCAGAACTATATGCAGGCTACCTTTTAAGCAGAGTGGTAAACAGGATGACTCAGGTGGCTACACTACCAGTCTGCTTGATATTCATCATTTGCTGAAGCAGACAATGCTGATTAAAGGACAGAGACATAATTAAGGCCAGCCAACATGGATTTATGTAAGACATTCAATCAAAACATTTTTGTAAGAGGAGACATTTCATTTCTCAGGCAAGTAGGTGAAATAAATTTTAACTTCTGCAGGACACTTCGATTAAGTGGAACATTAAAAACAGTATCACTAGACTGGGTCTGAGGAAGAAGTTCTTCAGTAGGAGGGTGGTGAGATTCTGGACTAGATTGCCCTGAGAGGCTGTGGATGCTCCTCCCTGGAAGTGTTCAAGGCCAGGCTGGATGGGGCCTTGAGCAACCTAGTCTAGCTGAGAGGCATCCCTGCCCCTGGCAGGGAGGTTGGAGTAGATGATCTCGAGGGTCCCTTCCAACCTAAGCCTGATTCTGTGATCATTCAGAACCACATGAAAAGTCTCCCAAGATATTTTCTTTTAACCTCTTCCTCTCAAGAATCTACCAACAATCCAGCTCAGAAGGCAAAATATTCTCAAAGCAGAGTAAAAGAAGCTATCCCCTACTTCCACAGAATCTGTAATGTTGGCCCACAAAACTTCTAAAACCTGTGGGTGACAAACATGGATCTGGTAAGTAATGTAAATGACACATCATCAATACCACCAGTATGAATTATTCAATTACTCAGTCCAGTACAGCAGGTCCCATTTAATAAGGCCAGGCATACATTGGAAAGACTCTCAAGCAGAAAACAGCAGTGCAATAGAGAAGAAATGCAAGACTCTTCTGGAAAAGCACAGTCTTGACACCAGTCAGAGGTTTATGACCATCAGCTGAACAGGAACATATGATACAATATTGACCAGAAGAGCCTCCAAAGAACACTGACTACAGAACAGGGAAGAACAGAAGGAATAGAGAGTGGGGTTTATCACTGTGTCCTGTTCTGTTGTCTGCAAGGCAAGAAAGCTGATAATCAGGTGTTCAAAAACTGATAGAACATGACAGACATGGCTTACAGGGGGGAAAACATACACCAA